GCGGAATGTTTGCAGCAAATCGACTTGATGTGAGTTGGTACCTTCTTACCGAAAAATTTTGTCGAAATAAGTATAGGTTAGTTTTTTGAAAAAGAATGAGAGCACAGAAAAACAGTTAGACAGTCAGCCCATCACCTGTCTGCTACACTCAAAGGGTAAACGGACCTTTTGCACCGTTACAGTATACAAATCTCGCGCATTTATGAAGTAGATATGATATGCAGGTGCATATCACGGAAAAATAACTTTTATGTTATTATCATATAAAGTGTAGCGCAATCCTATTCTTGCCTTTAGCAATAGTGTTTCTTAGTTACGGTAACTATTAACTTGTAAAGGCACAAAAAGGCCCATCAAGTTTACTGATGCAAAAGGGGCCCACCATCCTATGTGGATGCAGATAGAATTGGGTCGACTTATCGCCTCACTCATTCTTTAGGGCTCTATCTTATTCAAAAATCATGCCTAAAGACGGTCCTTTTGCACCGTTACAGAATATCGTCATTTCGTCGAATTTTAATGTGGAATGGTTACATTTTTATGCTCAATTCATATCTCATGAGTTTATGAAGTAGAGCGCAAACCCATTCTTGCTTTGAGCAGCAAGATGGCAGTATACCGGTGCAAAAAGACTCACTATTTATCGTGGTTAGAATGACCTCACCAAGTGAACCGGTGCGAAAAGCGTTCACTAACTTATGCAAATGTGATAAAATTGAAATGTTTTAACATCTTATTTTTAGCTTTATCTTATCTTAGGTTTTATTCACTCAGATAGGAAAAGTAATGAATGAAACCTATATCCATTCAGGTACTTGATAGTCCACACAGCGATGCTCGGCTTATGCGCCGCTATTGTCGTAAAGTGGTCGGAGCCGAGCCATTGACATCAGATGATCACGAGATTGCTGTACGGTACAAGCAGCATGGTGGAGCCATGCTTGGTCCGTTGTATGGATTCATGGCACATTTTTCCACGGGTATGTCAAAAGCCCACTCTCCCTTCTTGTTCCATTAATATGACTATTACAGTTTGTACTGACATTGTGTTGACTGATTTCCTGGGTTCCATACAATCACCTGGCTATCCAAATAATGTCTGGAGTTCACAGTATTGTTCATGGACCATCAAGGTAAATTTTGGCACCGTATATTCTATTCCGACATCCCCGTTTGTGCAGGTCCCTCCTGGAAATCGCATACAGCTGAATTTCCATAATTTTGTTGTCGACAGACGCTACCGTTACGGTGTGATGCCCGGAAAATGCTCGGATAATTGGTTAAAGGTCGTTGAAAAGTAAAATTTAACAGTCGGTTTTCTTTGTACTGACAATATTTAGTTCGGAGATGGAGAAGTAGCTGAAGCCACTGTCAAAATTGGCAATTCGATCAACATCACTAATAAATTAGTCGAAGCATGCTCTGATGTTGCGAAACCTGTAGTGGTCAAGGTAAGAATAGATTTGATAATTTTTTGGAAAGCCATGTTGAAGTAATTTTTTCAGAGCAAAAACAATATTCTCCATCTGACTTACCAATCCAAGAAACAGGAACAAAATCATTTTTGGCTGACATGGACGACCATCGGTAAACAAATATGTCTATTGGAAGGGAATTTGGGCGTTTTTAGCAAGAAAATTTTGAGAGAATAGTTGAAAGGGTGGGGGCTAAGTAGGTCCTAGCACGGTTTCTTGTAGCACCACTAGCAGTCGCCAATCATCAGCTTCAAACATTCTGGTCTTTACGGGAGCATTTTAGTAGGATACCGGGAAAGTTTGAGTATCATGCGGCAGAAATTTTTCTGGAGGAATAGGAAGAATAGCGAAAAGTTTTTTTTTTCAAGAAAAGCGTTAGCCACCCTGAATTTTTTAGCGAGTAAATCTTTTGGAAGCTAGTAACATTTTCATTGATAATTCAACTGATTAATCAAGGCTGCGGAGGGACCCTCATATCACCTTCGAATATATCTGCCAATATCAACAATTTGGATCGAGATTCTGAGCAATTGGAGTGCGGTTGGCAAATCAAGGTAAGATTCCTTCGCGGGTTTTAGAGTTTTTTTTACATTCAGTAGTATTTGAGTATCTCGCCAATTCGTAGGCACCAGTTGGAAAGCGTATACTTCTCATAGTGGATACGTTGGCAATCTTCCAAAAAAGCGAAGCTAGCTGTCAATACAATGACGAAAAGCAAGATTTTGCTGGAGCGGCGGTTGGTTTCCCATTTCAGAGAGGGATCGAAATGGGTAACGCCAAAAATTTTGTAATTTTGAGATCTTCGCTGGTCCATCGAATCGCTCCGGATTTCCACAATACACGGCTTGTACTAGCCTTCGCAATCTTACTTATAAATCACATACAAACGAACTGTTTCTTCAACTCAAGGTAAATAATAATTTATTGATTACTTTTAGCATAAAAATCAGAATTTTCAGTATGGAATGAAGACAGTGATGCCAGATGCTGAAGGATACTTTTTCATGGCTAATGTCAGCTTCATCGATGCAGATACCACGAACAGAGACGAATGTGGAGGAGTTGTTG